CTAGTTTAGGTCCATCCGAGGGTTTGCCTTTTCCTTCTGCACTTCTTCACTTTTCTGCTTTTTGGATGGGTGCTCTCCCCCGAGTGAAGGCATAAGCCGTAGCCGTAGACAGTCACTAGCACTAGTTTGATCGCTATGCCATTCTCGGCAACGATGTGGTGATAGCTGATCGACGAGTTGCTTCGGTCTACCTTGTTGAATCATCTACATTGATTGAGGACTCGATGTCAGAATGCATTCTTCGATACCCTGTTGTAGAATTTTTCATCTAGTTCCTGTAGCTAGTCGTAGATGCATATTATAGCTGCTATCGGATCAGAGGTTCGGGGGATTTTGAACTATATTATTTAAAAATATATATAAATTTTATTCCTGTTGGATCTCTTGCTTTCAAGTTCTCTTAGTTTCTATGTAACTCAATCAGGACGTAGATGTAGATACGGATAGGGGTAAACCGGGTAACCAATCCATGACTCCTTCACCCTTAGATCGCAAGACTAAGGCCAACGAGGCGGAACCTCGCGTGATAGGCTGGTTCTCACCAGGGTCAGTCCTATCACAAAATTATAGTTTATAACCTCACTCTGCTTGGTAAGGCAGAGCCCTATGTTAGTCAAATAGGCACCCCCCGGTTTCTTAGTGAAACTCATCAAGGTGAGGTTTGGTGGGCTAGCTTATAGCTATTCTATCACTCAGGGATCCAGAATGGAGCAACTGGGGGTGACGCGGAAGCCACCCGGGTGGGGTCAGATATGATATCAAGCGGCCTCATGCAGGTAACCAAACCAGCGTAGGAAGCTTATCTATTTAGATAATAGGCTTCCATCTGGAAAACTTTTTTTATAGGATATCTATAGTTAGACTCATCCAATGGTGGAAGATCTTCGGCTACTAAAGTCAATGTGTAATAAGTTGATTTTAGTAGTCACTGATGGTCTAACCTAACCAAGGAGCTCTGTATCGGAGCATACCTCTTTGCCAAGCAGGTAGTTTGAATCGCCGGTCAGGCGCTCTGTTTACTGCTTTATATCTGAAGCAGTGCGCAGTAACACTTCAACAGGCGTACGGTGGGATTACCCCGTATGATATTCATACTAAACTATCTGTACCCGTATCACTCACTAGATCAGGTTACCCTAGGATCAGACCATCCTTTCATAGACAACAAATCTATATATAAAAGGGATGATAAAGCTGATATGCTAGTTAAACTCTACTTATCGTTCTTTAGTTTATCTAGAGCGATTAAGTTAGCAAAACGGATTTCTCCGTCTTTGTTTGCTAGCATAACTGATCCTATGTCTGACGTTCACAAATTTTAAGAAGTCAGAGATTGGCTACGAGGGTTAATACGTAAACTAGCCAATCGGTACCTATATCAAGCCCTCTCACGCCCCCTTTACCAGGGAATCTCGTGGGAACCGACTTGGAAGGCTCTGCCAACGGATCGTAAGCGACCTGGTCAGTCTCGCCGTGAAAGAGGCATATTTGCCAATTTTACATCACAGTGACTCTGGTTCGCTATGCTCCGTTTATCGATGTCTGTTAACCCTGCATTAGCATTAGGAATGACGCAGAAGCTTACATCGAAAGGATCAGCAGCCTTTTTTATGGTCATCCATTACCACCTCGTGATGAATGGGATGATTGGCTATCCAATATATCAGCCAATAGTTCTGTTACAATTCAAAAATGTATTCTGATGGAGTTTGACAGTACTGGTGACTTATTTTGCTATCCTGGCGGGTTCTCGCATTCAGTTGAGTCTGGTGCGGGCAAGAGGAGGGTGTTTGCCATAGGAAACTATGTCAATCAGAGGCTTCTCCGACCTCTCCAGCCCCGAAATTAGGCTCTTTTCCTTCTCTACGACCACAGACTTAAGTTAGAAGATCCACCGGAGATAGTCCTTTCTTTGACCTACCTTGACTTTAGTGGGTCTACGAATCCGCGGAGGGACAAGTCTGCTAGTGACCAAGCATCGAGTCAAGATAGGAGCAACCCCCCATTCAAACCAACCTCTAAAACAAGTTTTCACTAGGTTTTATCTGGAAGGCGGGAAGAGCTCTATTGGAGCATTTGGGCGGGAAGCCCTACAGTAATGGGATCCGTTACTTGACTTGTGAAGCCCTGTGCTCGAAGCAAAATAAGATTACTTGCACAAAGAAAGTGACCAAAGATATATTAAAAACTTAGAAACAAAAAGGCGCAGAACGTTGCAGGAGTTCCTGGAAGTCAGTCAACTCTTGCCTATAGTCGGGCAATCAATCCATCCTTCGTCTCGGGCACAAAATAGGAACTCTTGTACTGGAAAAGAGAAGGACGCAATGCCTTTCTTTTACTTACCCTTTTTCTTATCTTATGTATGATATTTATAGTGACCCAGTAATGCCCCATCAAAGAGCCTATTCGTCGTAAGCCCTTTTAACCCTCACAGCTGATTCGACGGGATGCGGATTCTCGAACAAGAACACATGTAGCTCCTTCTCAAAGACCGGATTCTCAAGCAGGGGTTTTGAAGCTTCTTCTATCATTCTCGGTATCAACAAATTACCTCCTCGTATTACGTATTAGAAAAAAAGGTAACCAGATCTCCTCACTGGAGTTCTTTGCATTGGGCTCGCTCGGTTCGTCTGTTCATTGTAGGAAAGCGTTTATGGAGCAGGAACCTATTTTTTGAGGTCAGCCCGCTTTCTTTCTCTGATCCCCAATATGAGTGAGACCAAGATGGCTGACTGGAGTGCCACAAATCAGCTGGTCATGTCATGGCTTCTAAATTAAATTTTTCCTAAAATTTCTACCAGTCTTATATTTAAGACATCGGCTAAACAGGTATGGTCTAGAGGAGCTAGAATCCTTAAAGGCTATTCCTGACCGATTCCCTTTCGTCTCTGCTAAGATGGACGAGAAGAAGGATAAGAATTGGTTTACCCGGTTGGACTATTCCGGAATCTTCTTCTTCGAATTAGCCTCAAAGGCAGGGTCTTATGAGCTCGTCTATTGTGTTTTTTACATGGATAAGCCTCTTCTCTTATGGGCTGGCCGTCCTTCTGTTTCGATGAATGGATTGACCATGAGCTTACAGTGCCTTGTAGAAAGCATAGCCTCATTGTTCACTCACCGAAGATTATTCTCTTCACATAGATCTCGGGATACGAGACCTTCCTTCAACTACGAACTAAGCAGCCTTGAAAGTTGAAAGAAAGGAGTAGTGAAATGAAAGAAGAAGGGAATTCGTTATTGGATAGTCCCATCCCAATCCAATACGAAAACGAGTAATGAGCCCCTTTATGTTGTGGGCAGCAGAGATTAGATTCTTATTCTTCTCTTTGCTTTGGTACCAGCCTTGATATCTCAATCTTGCAAGGCACGACAGGCATCGGAACGAACTCCGCGGAGAGCCACTCTTTGGTCCAATAAAGAGACAGATCAGCATCCATAGAATCTATCTAGAAAGAGGCAGTCTGCCGCATCAAGAAGAAGCGCACATCTTTTTTTCGAGAATCTATCCCCTTTCTTACCGGAAGTTACATTTTTGAATATCTCCATTAAAGGAAGATTGGAGGGGATCTTTACCTAAAGGTGCGGAGCGAAGTCTGCATTTATTGCTAGTTCTTCTCCCAGTCTCGGACTCAGCCTTTTAGCCGATTCGCACCTTTACTCTCTGTCTCAATCGAGCCGGTCAGATCAATAGAGAAGTCAGGCACTCGATAGACTGAAAGGAAGGTTCCGCCCGTAAATTTATTGATCAATGTTACCGGGAAGCAGCAACAGAGACAGATTGAGTGCTAAAGCTTCTGTCCCGTAACGGTTGATCCGTCGGATTTTCGCCTTCAATGACCTATTGTAGTGTAGGAGGTGGCCTTCCCAAGGCCAGAGGACTGGTGACAACAGTACCATAACGGTTTTTATTTTAAAGCAACACAGGTTACCGCGCGAGGTCGTGGTAGAAAGAATCTTGGCCGTGGTCGTAGTTCATTGGTGATTGTGGGGCATAGCGGCACCCTCGCCTGGCGCCATTCCCGGATCTAGCAGCAGACGGGCGGGCCGGGCCTGAATTCAGACCAGACTCTTCTTTATTTGAGCTGCTCCCACGCACGCAGACCGGAAGATCTCAGTTGTCCTGGACTTGACAAGTACGTAGAGATCTTCGTGGGACCGGGGAGGGAGTCTCAATCGATCTTTTCTAGGATTCCTTATCACGCACGGAGATCTTTCCATTGATAGATAAGAGGGCTCCCCCCCTTGAACATACTCTTAAAGGTTAGGTAGGTTACTACCTGCCTCTACGGAAGAGGTTTACTTTGTACCGCCCGGAGGTCATATAGATAGAAACCCGGAGCGATAAGAACGAAAGGGTTGGTGTGGCCACAGCTACAACTACTGGCGCTTCAAAAGGCTTAGATTTCTTCTAAGGGCGCTACAGCAAGCTACCTTTTTTTAGGTCGTGTAATAGGGAGGTGTAAGCCTCGAAAGCCTTTAGTACTTCGGTAGGGCGAGCAGCCCTTAAACCGGTTTGGAACTCTTCCCGTATTTCTGCATTTAATTCTCTATTCGGCCCGCCTCAAACAAAATGATAAAAAAGGATAGGACTATTGATTCGAAGTCACTACGAAAGGGTCGGTCAATAGCATAGCTCTTGATTTACCCGGTCTCCTTTCGAAGGAAAGGCCTTCGCTTTCCTAATCCGGTAGGGGGCCGGACGGCTTTGTTTGCCCCAGCTTGGCTAATCGCATCCCCGCGCAACGACATTCCGCCCCTTACCGTTCTCGCTCAGTCTTTGCAACGGCTGGGGAGGCAGTCGTAGAAGCGAAGCCTATCGCCACGCCGACCATAAAAGACGAGATTGGGCCCCTTCTCAAAGATTTGATGGAATGGCCCACCCAAGAGCGCTTATGTAATATGGGAACTCATGGCTGGAAACAATCCTTCCTTATGGTTTTGATATCCGGTAGGAATAATCAGAATAAAAGTCCAGGTTGGTTGGTGAGCCTAGTGATAGGAGACTATCTAGCTTGGTTCGGAGAGCACTTGTTGGGTTAAAGATTTTTTTGTTGCTAAATGTTACGGCCTAAATGCTGAACTATTGACCCTACTTGTTCGGATGGGTGTTCACCCCAAAGTGTTCCCGGACCGCATGCATACATACGTAAGTAACTTAGTGCAACATGGCAAATTTAATTGAGAGGAATCAGCAAAGAAAATAAAAACGGGTCAACATCTTAATGTGTATTTTTGATAAATTGTCCTCGGCTCGGGCTGAGGAGTGTCCACATGAGTTCGTTGAGGTGTCTACACAGGTTCGAAGACGCTCTTTTATATTCTGTCGAGAGTTCGGATTGCTCCACCTAAGTAGAACGAAAAGAAGGAATTGGAAATTCAAAGGGGGAGCCAGAAGCTTCGCTTCCGGTAGCTTGCTGACTCTCCTAGTTAGAAGAAGGCTCTTTGGCGAATTCTTTAGATCTGGGTAGAGTCTCGCTCAGTAAAGAGAGTTGTAGATTCCTAGAAAAGGAGAGGAGCCTTGATTCTCTTCTTTGATCACCCAAAGGTTTAATTAAGGCTTTACCTGTTGTTCTATATATATAGGACAGAAAAAACATCCAAGGAAAATGCCCTGCAACCAATTACTGCCTAGGGAACCCATTTGCTCGCCTGGCACGACAAACTAAAAACAGGATGATTGGAAACTGGCCTAGCATATGACTCTATAATCAGCTACCGTAGATAGGAGGCTTTAGCCTATAAAGAAAGCAGCTTAGTAGTAGGAAGGAAGCAAAGAAAAGTATGCCCTACATGTCAACAGGGTGGAAGTTCAAAGCATCGAAGATGAGTACATGGAAGCACCAATGAAGAAAGTCCAGAGTGCAGATATAACCTTATCGACAGAAGACATCTTGCTGGACAGGAATAAGCATACATAAGCGGCCCCTTTATTTTATCTCACCGGTGACATCGGCGAAAGAAAGAAGGCTACCGCGGGACCCTGGGGCCTCCATCAACGTGATGCCACTGCGGGCCCTAGCCGATCTAGGAATTCCTTACTACGAGCCGGCTAAGTCAGACCAAGGTTACTATTCCGGGGTACAATGCCGACTCGCAAAGAGCCATCGGCAAGATTCGTCTCTTGTGTGTGCGGATCTGAAGACTGAGGTCACTTCTTACGTGATTGACGGTGACACCTCCTAAACTTCCTGCTTGGATCCACAGCGTGGTACCTTCCACCCTTCATCAATGCTTCAAATACGTTGATGAGAAGGGATAAACTGGGTATTTGCCGACAAGAAGCCCTTTTTTAAAGGAGTCTAGGCATACTGTCTGTACGGATGCGCGTCTTTACAACGACGGCCCAGACAGTGATGGATGACGAAAGCCCGCCAGCGAAAGCCGAAGCACAGGTTCGTAGACCTCTCCGAATCCCTCGAAAGCTAAGGGATTTACGGTCAACGCTATCTCAAAGAGCATGACCCCGTTGACGAAATCTCTAAACTGGGGCTGGGGGAATTACTTCAACTCTCGGTAAATAAAGATGCCACTTCCTGCATTACAGCAACCTTCTCAGGCAGAGGACCCTAATGGAGTGGAGCGACATTCGTCCTCTCAATGGAAGGTTTTTTTCCTCATCTTTCACAGGGTAGCCCGGAAGTCTTATTCTACGCTGGAAAGAATCGTCACCGATGGTGAGATAAGAAAGATAAAGTACAGTCCGATTGCAAAGAAGCGAAGGACATGGGCTATGACCTTGAGGAGCCTGTCGGGCTTTCGTGAAGAACGGTCGAGGCAGAAAAGTACCCCTCGAGCCGCATCTAAGTGAAGAAGAAAGGGAAGCTTGGCTAGCCGGCCAGTACGTCGATCTCAGAAAACATAGGCTTGGGCTACCTGCCAACTCCGCTCCCTGCGCCGAAAACTTTGTCTTACGCCGAAAGTTCTGGAGATCTTTCTTTCAGATCTCTTCCAATTGTCTATAAACGTAAAACAAAGAGCAAAGAGACGAGAGTAAGTTCAAGAATTGGATGTAGAGCCTGTGCCCCCTAAAGAGGACGAGATCCATTTACTTGACCTCGGCCGGATCGAGCAGTTCTAGCTTCTGCCTACTCTCTTGATTCTGTTTCTGCGTCAATGTCATTCCAGTCCAGTCGACTCTGATCATGAATGTCGTAGATTCAGTATCCAGATTCTGATTACGAAGATTATTACGAGGAGAAACATGTTCTTTTTACGAAGAAGAAGTGCGGGGTAGTTCACAGATTTGCTTCTCCATTTGATTGAATGGCATAAGTGTCTGGTGGTACAAAGGTCATAATGGGTTTCCAGTAAGAAGGGTCTTTCCAGAATCAAAATTGTCGGTTAGGTTTTATCCGAAAGATTGGAATAAACTTTTACCCTATCCTTTGGGGGAGGTTAGCCCTACATCTTATTTAAGTGTTTGCCCAGTCGCGCTCTCATGCTCCCAAGGCATGTTGATGAACCATTCCATCTTGTATATTAGATTTCTGCTTTGGGCGAGTCCTTCTGAGCCTTCCTTTCTTTTGAGGAAGAGTCAAGATGGGCTTGGGCTGGAAGAGAAAGAAGCATCTGCTTGAAGAGCAGCACAGCAGGCCTGCGAGCTGAAGCGAGAAGCTGACACAGAAGACTTCTTCTTTGAGGAGGCCGAGCGAGTTAAGATGGTTGTGCGGGGCGTAATTAAAGAGATAATAATATTTGAGTTATGGAGGGTTGGGCAACCCAAAAGAAAAGGGGAGAGCAGAACCGGCACGTTCATAGATGAGAAACTCGAGATAGTAAAAAGCTGAGAAGACGAATCCCGGGGGGTAGTTGCTGAGAAACGAACCTCGAAGACAGCAAAAAAGCACCTAAAGTCTAGTGAACCAGTTCGGATGCGGAAGATACTGGAGATGATAAGTCCGGAGACGAGGTGATTAGCCGTAGATAAAGAGATTCGAGCCAGTCGTGGTAAAACCTGTAAATTGGATTGGATCTTTGAAACCCAAGATGATCCTTCCTCCGTGGAGATTGAGTATACAGCCGCAGACTGTCTTTATCCTCGTCTTCATACACACTTTCGATGATAAATACGCCAGAGGGAAGTAGAGGGAGCAGTTCACTCACTCGCTTAGCGCTTGTACTAAGGCATCTTCCCTAAGGTAGCTTGTTTATTCCCTACAAGTTGAGCTAGTTCCTGTTTATTCAATAGATTTATTAATATATCAATATCAATAAAATATCGTTTAGCGTTTATTCATTCAGAATACCCATTTTCTTGCTAATATGAAACTACCTGGGCATAGCTATGATTCCCATAAGGATCATACTTTCTTGGTAAACCCCTCACTCCTCTCCTTCGGCTTTAAAGGATAGATAGACGAGGTGGGAATACTGTTGTTTAATAACAACTACAATAGATTACCAGAACAAAGAATGAAGCAAGGAGTTGATTCTCTGATCAAGTAACCACTACCGGAACTGGCCTACTTTCCGGTAATCGCCTAGCTTATTTCCTTTCTACCTGCCGGTATTTGAGCTGCTTTCTACTTGCCGTACTGACTAACTGCACCCTCTCTTTGAGATCCCTCGACCCGCCCGTCCAACCAAAGTTTCATTCGAGCACATAAAATGCAATCCTTGAATAAACAGCAGCTACTAAGAATCTAACAGAAAAATCAAAAAGAAAGGATATAAAAGAGAAAGAGGTTCAGAACTCAACTGAGGAAATGTAATTGTTAAGTTAAGGTCGGTTGGCTACCTCAGGACTATCTGACTACACTACTTGCGTTAAGGCGCTGAAGCCGTGGTAGGGGTTAGCTTATTCCCAGACGAACCATCCCAGTAAGAGAGATTAGACACCAATACCTGCTGGAACTAGTAGCCACACTACGGCGTATGCTAAATTCCCAGACGGCTTCCCTTAACCGTAGGCTACACTTCCTTCGCTCTTGAATCTACAACCATATCTGGTTTCGCCTGCCTTGCGCGAGACTACGCAAATGGAGGCCCTTCCGACACGGAACTAGAAAGGTCAGTCTCTGGCCCAGACTCCACGGATTCAACTTCACCACCGGAACATTCGGCTAAAGATATAGTTTCATCTGCAACAGAGTCCACCACATCTGCTTCAACTCGATCTACTGATTCCACTGTAGCCTACGGTTAGTAAAGCAGGAGCTCTCACTTTATATTTATATATAATGTAGTTACGTCAGTTCCGGAGTTTGCTGGGCCGTAGTCTATTTCTTTCAGAACCTAATGCCCTTTACGACAGGCGCTAACCGCTTTCTACCAGCTCGGCTCGAACCGGATCGGCTTACCTCACTTTCCAGCATCCACTGGATCAGATTCCTCCTTTAGCGGCTGATAAAGAACAGGAAGACCAATCCCTGAACGTAGTGCAACCTTCGGTCCTTCTGAAGCCGAGAAGGAACTACTTCTTTCAATCCGCCCCCCTCAAAACCACGTTCTAGAACTAAGCTAAAGAGAAGGGAGGGACGGGATACTGACTAGCTCGTCATGCTCAAAAAACTCAAAAACAGTCGTAAAGCCAATTGATTTAGGGCAAAAAGCACAAGATATGGAGGCCTTTTTATAGTCTCTCTTATCGTAATCTTTGATTTGCAACACTCTCCGTAGAGCCCTCTGCTGACCGAACCTACTGTTATGAAGGCAAGCAACCACAATCACAATGGGGTAGGGCTTCTAAGTGCGTAGTCTGTTTCCAAGCGAGTCTTCTCATCTCAGGAACAAGTCGACTAAGGCGAGGGGGCATATCCGATCTTCCAATCGTTGATCTAGTTGAAAATTAGCAAATGACATTTCTCTGTAAATAAGGAAAGAGAGGCCGCCGGTCTTCTTTTTTTTGTAGTAGGTTAAGCTGCAGGTTTGTGAAAATGGGTTCAGTTGCATACTTTGGAATAATGGTAAATCAATCATCACCGGACGAAGTCAGCTTTACCCACGTAATAAACCACCAGAACCAGTAACAAAAGAAGCGAGTCGCAATTGATATACTCACTCAACGTTGACCAGTTCTATCAAAATATTAAGAAGGATCCAATACTCCTAGAGTAGAGAGGTTCAACGCAATTAAGAAGGATCGATGCAATTAAGCTGACTGCTTCCAAGCACCTTATTCAACCACTTTACTAATGGAGGACAAGAAAATCCACGATGTCTACCTAAAGATCAGATTGAATCAATATTCCTAGGCTTGGCGCTCCCCCTGTTGATAACCTGGCCTATGTAGGTACTTTACCTTTGCTTTGATCTACGCTCTTCCTCGGCGACTCATGCCCTTCCGCTGGTCTTTCGTCTCCGGTAAATAGTCTATGCCCCGCTCTCTTTTCAATTATTACGGACATGTCTATTGAATGAAGTTCTGCCGTAGGTCCCCTAATGCTTTAGAGGAGCGAACAAAGCCCTCTACGAGAGCGATGACGATGAATAAGTTACTAAAAATCTTTATTTCTACCCTCTTTAATGTAGATGCTTTGGACACGCCCTTGGGCTTCTCTACGATTCGTACCTATGAATTCACTTCCACTTTTAGCTGCGGCACGCCATTCCCCACCGAACTACCAGCTTCGCCAATTACTTGCTGTTGGTTAGGTGCTTAGTCTCGGCATTGCTATCGTAGGATGATTGGACTGTCAAGAAGCCACTTCTCCGCTCTCCAAATCAGCTTCTTGACCTACCCACTTTCGCCACCCTCGTTGGCGTTAGGGCAAACGATTTATCTTTTCTTCCTTGAGTCAGCTCGGCAACTCCTTCAGTTCCATATTTTGATGGTAACAGAACCCACTCTTGATAAAGGGCAATAAAAGGCGCAGCAATGGCAAGAAAGAATAAACCACGGAAAGGCACTTAGAGATCCTTAGCTAAAAAGGGAATTTGTGAACTCCTGTGTCTCAGTGCCATGGCATACAAAGTCATGTCTTGGAGGATTCCATACGTCGACTCATTCAGACGAAAAACACAAAGATACATCATCCCCAGGCGCACAAAAGAGCTCTACTATATCTCGACGAGACGGAACAGAAGACCTTGCCAACGATAAGACTTCAAATAAATGATCTGCACCTAGCTTAGACCAGGCTCATAGTCGGGCCCAGCATCTTCCCAAAGCCCAAGACCATCCCGAAAGACTCTCGCTTTGGACCACTTCTCCCACTAGACGGGACATCCTTGAAGCCAAAAAGGCTTTGAAAAAACTTTTGAGATTTCAATCTCAGTTTAGGAAGGTACCTTAGCCTTCATGCCCTCGATCAAACTATCAACTGACCGACTGGATGGACTAACAGAAAAAGAGTAGCCTACGCTGGCTGGACCGCTGGACATACCTACATACGGACTGCAGACAGACAGATACGAATTCTGCTATTACACATGACCTGAGGAAGGAAGAAAGGAAACTAAGTCCTTAAAGGCTGAGCGGCTGATAGGATTGACTCGTGAACTGGATGAGACCATTCACTCACGGAAGACTTGCTAGATATCGCTCCTTCCAAGTGAGCCTCTTTCATAGGAATTCCCCCCATCAGATCAGGGGGTTCCTATAGGGGCCAGGTACACTCTACCATCAAATGAGACAGAAATGAATGCAAGACTTCGAAAGCTTGCAAGGCTTGAAGCTCAGAAATGGATAATTTTAGATCCGTTGAATTCAGACCATAAAGCGTGAAAGTCTTTTTCCTCCCACTTGAATAGAAGAATGAAGGGAGGAAGTCAATTGCCCCTTCTCCGACTAACCGATAGGGAAATCCTTACACAAGCCCAAAAGCATGAACTCGATCTTCAGCCCTTACCACGATTCTCTCAAAGGAAGGAGATGAATCTGACTAAGTAAGGGGCCGCGGAGGGACTTAGTGTGAGTCACTTCACTCGGGAAAGAACAAAGAAAAGGCAATCAATTGTTTAAGCTGTCAATAAATTCTTTAAATAAGTCATTTTACTGCGGAAAAGCGGTCCGCTCGAGGTTATATTCTTCCAGGTCCGGGACCATCCCATAGTGTCTTTGCCCAAGATCGATCCCTCACAGAAGACTTTAAGGAAGGAATGGACCACTCGCAAGACTCAAAAGATAGTAACGAAAGCCAGGAAGCACATTAGGACTTTACGGAAAAAGAGACATTCTATAGAGGAAAAGGCACTTGCCTCTTAGCCGATTGAACAGAATCCACTACTTCGACTGCTCGACGGGCTGCTGGAAGGGCCGATACGATTATCCTCCAAATGGGCGGCCTACACCTCAATAAAAAGCAATGCGAAAAGCAAGAAAAAGGCTGGGTTTCGTAGCTCCGTTTGCCAGGCTCATCAACTGAGATTCCCAATTGCCGGTATCATTGAGAACTTGTGATTCCGGTCAAGTCAACTACTTGAATTCAGCAGCTAGCCGGGTGAAAGTAGGACAAAGATCTCAGTCAGAATCAGAGAATTTATCACTTGGCTAGTGAATTCAAGCTCTTTTTCTTTTGGATCGGATTCAGCCCCAGACCTTGGTACGCTGAGGTTAAGCTTTTCCCGGGTTTCCTCTTAAAGCGGCGCAGCTCCCAAGGTGCATATTCTCATATAGAAACAAGCGAAGCGTAGCGAATCACATAGATAAGCCCCTACCTGCCAGCATCAACTCATATACCACGTGGAATGATAACCGAAGGGCTCAAGCAAAGGCCAATGGTGATAGATATAGATCCGGAACCCCAAGCATGGACACTTAGACATAATGGAAAGCTTGTTAGGAAAGTTAAACTGGAATAGAAGGCCGAAAAGACAAAAAGAAGGGACTTTCACATCGCCCCCGACACACCCACGAAAGGAACTTAAAGAAAGCAAAGAAGATTTCCACGCTCAGAACGAATGCAAGATCCACGGGACTCGATACAGCCGGGGACATCGGAAGTAGGGACCAGCGCAGAGTCGGGATCCCTTTGGTATAATCAACAAAGAGGAAATAATAGTAGGGAATCTCTATCTCATAAGATAGTAGTCGGAAAACTCATTATTGCCTGTCTTACAGTGTGTCTCTTGAGCAGTCTTTCCTACGCCACCGTCAGCGGTACTGAGCTAAGTCAACTATTTTGATAAGGGTAGATTCAATAAAATGAAATAAGACAACTGCTACTAAGAATCTAGTTTTCTAAACAGACAAAGATCCTTAGATTAGATTCCAGACCGAGGTAGCAAAGGCTACGCTTTGAGGGCAATCGAGACTTGCAAGCACAAGACGGCTGTGATTGGGTGATCAGCTCTGTACAGGGCAGAGGATCCCGTGAAGAGAGACACGCTACACTAGACCGATAGTGGCTACATACCATACGGATAAGACTTCTCTCATACAATGGCTGTTCCAAAGAAGGAGAAGGATCGTATAGAAGAGCTGGTGGATCCCCAACTCTTGGGGAAAGTAGCCCAGCCTTCTACCATTATAGGATAGGGATGTAACTTCCGGTAATAAATAGCTAGTTCTGATTCACGTGTACCAGCCCTTCCTTATGCGTCCTTATACTATTATTCCTCCCCCTCATAGATTTACTGTTCTGTGCGAAGCTTGCAAAACCTATTCAGGGCATTTAGATTACGGTTGAGAAATTTCATAAGAGAAGAAAGCGTAGAAAGGCAATCCGCAGTCAATGAAACTGACTATTGACTATTTAAGTAAGACCAAGACCTGACATACGGAATACAGAATAGAAGGTTCATCCATGCTTTTAACAATCTCTACTGTTACTGGTTAGACCGACTTGCTGGCTTCTTTCATTCCTTCCCCCATTCCGTGTCTCCAACCCGCCATAGGGAACTTAGATGATTCATCCTAGCTTAATTAGGGCTTTCGCCCTTCAAGGTCTTAGGAATCGATTGAATCATCCCTGTACTTCTACTCGATAGAGTGATCGAATCGGACGCTGTGCCATTGATTGAATTTCAATAGGCTCTTAGATGGGCTTGTTGAGATAGGTCAGAATGAAGCAACCCCAGTGGAAGGAATATGCCCATAGGTGGATTAGATAATAAGTCAATAAGTAAGATCGAAAGGGCAGGGAGATCTCTGGGGTCAAGACAAGGAGCCTAGCTAGGTCCCTAGTCACTAATCCGAATCTGCGGAAGAGGAAGAGGCACCCAACATATAAGAATCGGACTAAGAAAAGATGGATCCGTTTAAATGGTTGATGCTTTACAGGTCCCCCGCCTTCTCCTTGATCAAATAGTGTAAGGATAAATAAAACCCTATTATTTCCCTTTCTTTCTTTTGAAGTTATTTCTTAGGTTTCTTCCTGTAATTAAAATAATTTTAAGACTAGTTAGAGCATAAGGATTAGCAGAATCGTCAAAAAAAATTGTTATATGATATAAAGAAGAGGAAAAATTCCAATACTTCTATATAGTACGAAGCACCCGTAGCACTTGCTAAGAGTTACCTAATTGATTGAATACCAGTAAATTTACCACAAACAATAGTATACTAATTTCCGCAACACAATTTAATTGCTTTGGATGCGGCTCCTTTAACTGCTAATCTTTTTCCACCCGAAGGCTAGTTAAACATATGTCGCAAAGAGTAGTATCTGAATCTGTATCTGATGAGGATACTGCAGCAGCGGCGGAGGCAGTGGTAGTCTTAAGGAATTCCCTCCTCGAGATAGTCGATATAGAGAATTGTCCGCCTAAAAGAAAGAATCGCGAGTTTACTCGGAGCAGGCTTCCAAAAAGCCTTACAGTAAAGGTAAGTCATCCTATTCTTATAATTAGCCTGAAGAGTAGCTAAGACGCCCCCTTCCCATTCATTTTACCTTGGGATGGTCAAATTCATCTTTCTCCTATTTTAAAGCACTTTTATCTTATCTGACACTCGCAACTAACTACTCCCCTATACATATAGGGAAGACCACTACTGAGACTGGAACTCAAAGGCCTCCAACGGTAACTTCAACTCCAGGTAAGGCGGAAGCACTTTTAGGGCTTAGGACGAGAAAGACATATTTTACACTAGCTTTTGACCTAGAACCAGCTGACTTAACAGATGGATTGGCCTTGCCTACTTAAATGCCAATGGATAGGGGGCCTGGACCAACATCGAAAGAAAGTGCAACTTCTGGAACAGCTCCCTTAAAGAAAAGAAAGAAGAAATGGAAAGGAGTATTCCACGTGCATAATCCTTCACTTTTATTAAAAGAAGGTAATCAAAAAAGAAAGAAGAAAAATTGGGCCATGTTTCCCGAGGGAGGCCGCCTTCTCTCAGGCCAGCAGTCTTCTACTTCTAGTCGACTGCTCTATGACGGGCTTCCCTGTATCCTGGGCTCTGCTCGCTCGTCTACGCTCCGACCCAGCAAGTAAGAATTTAAAATCTTTCCTTCTCCCTTACGGTCGATAACTACGTACCTTGCCTGCATTAAGATTTAAAACTTGTCGTCAAAAAGGCAATCAATCAGAATCAAGAAAAAAAATGGAAATAGTGAATCAAGCAAGATCTAGATGGATCCCTATCTTTATCTCTATCCACGGAGATACCTATCTATATGGATAGAAATCTATCTATGAATCGATCTAGACTATCCTCTATCCGGATAGATATGTCCCTATGAGCGACTACGCTGATCTTTATATGTTTTGGCCACGTCCGTTTCCGCTCCGAAGAGGAAGGTTTGGATCTTTCAATCTTATGTCGTGAGGGATGTGACCTATGTTAGGTCCATAAAATACCACCGCTTTTGGTGTTCTATGATTAACCTCCGAATAATTAGTAGGTAGTTCGATCCTTTTTATTCTTCTCTTCATAGTAAACTGATGGGGGGATGAGGAGCAATAGGTCGAATTACTATATAAAGAAGAGTTGTAAACTATAGGACTTCTTGTTCGAGTAGGAAGATATCGGTTTTTCTCGTTTCTTCTCTTCGATAAGAATAGGGATTTGAAATGATACAAATTCCTCTTCATTCTGTTGTGCTCAGCGAAGGAACTGCCTAAGCATACTTTTTCGGATCCAAACTTCTTTGTTCTTTCAAAGTATTCTTCTTGCATATAATAACGCAACTGTTGTTGCAAAAACCGGGATTTTAGTAGTAGGCGGCATCCCCGCTTAGTTTTGAGTAGGTGGAACCATTCTGTTTTGGTTCTTCTCCACATTCTTACCGGGTGATCCAGGAATTTTCCTATGATTTTATCAACTGATATTTCGATATAGAAAGATCTCCTTATTTCTTCACCGCGGATTCTCGCGTCATTTTCTTGAAAAGATATTAGATCACCGTGGGAAACTTTCAAACGAGTAATGCTTACCATTCGATTATTCACACAAACCCTTCGATGACTTATCGGCTGCCTTGCTTGAGGAATAGTTTCACGAAAATGGAGACGAACCGGAATAACGTCCGATCTTGTTTCTGGATTGAGTAGAAAAGGGATATATGAAGTTCGTTCTGTTCCTCTGTGCATCTCTGTGATGGGTAAATCCCCATGAAAAAGGGGCAACTTTCGTGTAGTTTGTGATTGGATGTAACTGTTAAGATTTTCTCTCGGATAAATCTTTCTCTTAATAGATCTCTTCTTGTTCCTCAATCTTCGGAGAATGCGGCGTTGTATTATTGTAAGTTCTCTGTTCCGAACATTTCCTGAAAGTAGACGACAAGTTTTAAATCGCATATCCCGTCTTTATCTTTCTTTCCTTGGGGGAATGCCGCAACAAAAGGGGCTATGGGAGTAGAACCAAATTCTGCCAAAACCCCCGACAAAAACAAGATGGAAACTGGCATACCAGTCTCATTTACCTCTCTTTCTTCATTCAATATCTGTCTAGCCTGCTAACGACGCCCTTTCTTATCTACGCTATTTACCCTTCATTACTTCCCCAGCTTAGAGTGAAGTTCCTTGCTTTCAGTCTATTGGGCCTAGAGGACTGGGAATTGGCAATAACAAGAATCGGTCCTTTAGTGATAGTGAAAGCTCAATCCCAACTGTCGAATCAAAAGCCTAAACCGTCTAAGGTATGAAGTTACTTTCCAAAGGTCAATCCCTTTCCTGATGCCTGCGTAGAAGTGCAGTTGCTATTAAGGAAGATGTGCCATTAGTTAGAAAAGCAAATTTAACATTCATTCACTTTCGAATAAGCACTCAGACCTAAAAAGAAATTCCATTTCAAAAAGAAGATCTCTATGTCCCCCGAGCGAGCTCCATAAGAAGCCACTTTCGTGCTACTAGCTTACTAAGCTTCTTTCCCTCTATCTCTACGAAAAGTACAAGTAACTCCAGACGCTTTCTCATTAGCTCATTGGATTCGTCTTATATAAGCATTTCGGATTGGAAACTAATCGTCTGGTTGGCCCCGAACGGAAAGGGAGAGGGTTTTATCTTTCTAGAGGATTTCGTAACAAAGGGCTCCTGAGGTGCTAGCCGCCCTCTCGGGCTACACTTATACAGCCAGGCCAAACATACTGTGATTCGCCTAGCTGGGTGATACCTTTTGGAATAGATCCCACCCAGACTTACTATAAACTTATTTCCTTTAATTTAAGGGGTGAGCTAGCCTGTCATCCACCGCCCCAACTGTGATGGTCCCCTTCGGCTAGTTCTCTTGAGTGGCTCTCTATTCCGTCTCTATCATAGTGATAGAAGAAGCAATTGATCTCTTTCGTTGTCAACGAGCTAAGAAGATCTGAGCTCAGAGACGATTCTCTTTCTTGAAAATTACCTTTTCTCCTGGTGGTGAGCTCCTTCTCTTCTTTTACTTTTACATATATTGCCCATATGCGTAGGTGCTCCTCTCCTCCTTCGCGAAGTGTCTAAATTACTTTTCCTATCTCTTTTCTATAGGGACTGACTGATGGAAGGGAGAGTCAATTAACAACCTATCTACGGGAAAGCCTGTTTTCATGGCACAAAGAATCTCTTCCTTTCTCTGAAAAACTTGTATTACTCTGCAAGTTAAATAAGATCCGGCATAAATGCGTTCCAGAGTCTTTAGGTGTGGTATCATATGTATCCCGCTCGTTTAGTTTTTAGTTAAAGTATTAAGTATCCATACCACCTTCGCTCGAGAGTGACGATGTTTAGTGTTAAGTAATTAGTAAGTAAGCGGTTCTACTTGATCTCATGAACTATAAAAAGTTTAGCCCAGTCTAGTCCAATCTCATATCCGGAGTTCCTAGCCTTTGATAACTAGGTTTTTCTCTTTCATTGGTTCTGGAACCTTCGACTTGTGGTTCCACTCTTACTCTTGCAAAAGTTGGAGAATCCACTGCTAGGGGAATGGGATGGATGTCACTTGCAAGTCTTCAGAAAGGGGCGGTCCTGACCTATCAGGAAAGGGGAAAGCAACGAGAATCTTTCTACCTTCACGGGTGAACCTGGAAATACATAAACTAGCATTTCCCTTCACTCATGCGGGCGAAGAGTCAATAGAAATAGAATAGAATAGGAATCCCCAGAGACTATATCCATAAATAAAACCCACCATTGAATCAACTGGTATGGAATCAGTATCTGATAACATTCCCTTTCACTTCATCGGATGATCTTTTTATATAAAGAAGTTAAAGACCCAGGTCAACATATGGTATTAGTCCTTAGAATAAATTAAAAGGTTGTGCTAAAAAGTCCCGTCTGTATTGTCCTACGAGTAAGCTCTTTAAGGCCTTTGGGAAGAAAGCTAGAATGATTTTATCTTCTTTCATGTGAATCACAT